AAGCTTGGGACAAACGGCCATGAATTCGGGAAGGGATCCGCCAATCAATCTACTAACTATATCTACGGAGGAATTCGTGTTGTCACGAGACGACCTGATCAGGAGAATCCAGCAAAGGCGTTTCCCGATAGAATACTCTTCCGAATGCCAAAGCGTGCCGAAAACCAGCTCCCTTTTCAAATACAGCCCTTTCTTCAGTGAAGACAGGTTTATCCGTAGCAGGACTCGCCTTGAGAGAGCCGAATCGTTCACGTACGATGAGATATACCCGATTCTTTTACCCTCCGACGAACCCGCCGTAAAGCTACTAATTCTCAATATACACGCGCGGGAATGCCTCCATTCCGGTGGAATCGTCGGCACTCTACACAATCTCAGAAGGCGCTATCTGGTCCTGAAGGCCAGACGCCTCACTAAAGAGGTCATAGCGAAGTGTACGACTTGTCGTCGCTTCAAGGCCGTCCCTGGACAAATGGAGTCCCCCTGCCTGCCCGCTTTCCGTGTGGATCACGATATCCCATGGTCAACCACGGCAGTCGATTTTGCCGGACCACTAGCGTACAAGGATGAGAATGGCAAAACTCGGAAAGTGTATCTGCTCCTGTATACATGTTGTCTTATCCGTGCAGTGCATCTGGAGCTGTGCCTGGATATGACCACCTTTGAATTCCTCCTGGCATTCCGCAGATTCGTCAACCGCTTCCCGACAGTCGTCCGAATGTTGTCAGATAACGGGCTGACCTTCAAACGAGCCGCGCGGGAGTTTAGAATCATGTTCAGGCACCTCCAAAGCCCCGATGTGAACTCGTGGCTGAACTCAAAGGAAATTACATGGTCCTTCATCACCGAGAAAAGCCCTTGGAGAGGCGGAGTTCATGAACGGTTGATTCAGGTCGTGAAGCGGCCCCTCAGGAAAGTTCTGCGCCGTAAAGTCCCGTTCTTTCGCGAACTCGAGACCATTCTCACGGACATCGAAGCTATGGTTAACAGTCGGCCGCTTACGCCGGTAAGCACAACGCCAGATGACATCCGGGCTCTTACTCCCGCCGACCTGATGTTCGGCTACAGAGCTACGACCCGTCTGCCGACTGTAGATCTGAAGGAGGTCCGTAGAGAAGACTCGAACGCCGTCATACTCTTACAGAGGCACGTTTATCTACAAAATATCCTAAGCGCATATTGGAAACGTTTCCGATCGGAGTATCTACAACAGTTAAGGTCGATGCACACCCGAAACCCTTGCAAATCTACAGAATTCGCTCCCGGCGACGTTTGTCTGCTCTTCGATGAAAGCCCGAATAGAGCGACCTGGCCACTGTGCCGGATTATGTCACTCTACGGAGGGGACTCGACAGACGGCAAGAAGCGATCCTGCGTTATACGCTGCGCAAATGGGAAGACCTACAACCGACCAATCCAGCTGCTTTATAAACTCGAGAGTGCTCCGATTGACGAACCATCTCAACGTCCAGCCGAGAACGCTAGCCAGTAGGGCATCTAGTCGGCAAAGCTAATAGTGAACACGCATACAAATCAAATCATGAGACAAACACACTCGGCAACTCTTGAACATGTGCGCGGGGAGCCCACACCTTTCTCATTCTGAACGCAGAGAGATCAGTGAATTGTTCACAAATCCGGCCGGGAGTGTCGCGTCTCGAAGCGCGAGTCGTACAAACTGTACCAATGACCCATACCGGAACACCTTTCTGTTCAATAAATGATGGAGAGCAGTCGTCAGCTCTTCGTTCGCTCGCGGTGATCGCAGCCAGAATGTGGACGGCAGCACGTCCGATGGCAGCTCTCTCAGCCAGCCGCAGTGGAGCTCCGCCATCTTATCAGTAGCGTGCGCGAGACTCCGAAGGCATCGTCAGTCCTTTCGGGTTTCCATCGAAATTCGCATGATCCGCGAGCGATCGACCGAGAGACGATCTCATCAATAGCATCGTCAGTGTTTTCCGTCCTCCGGTCGTTCCGGCTCGTGACAGTTTGTCGGGAAACAAAATATCCCCGTGAATCGTGAGGAGACCTACGGCTTTAGTCAAGGAAGCCTAGACATGGAACGCTTCATCGAGCGTGCAGCCGATTTCGTGGAAGAATGCGAGTTCCCTACCGACGCCTGAGTGACGAATTGGTTCTCGAAGTTTCGGATCTCAAACGGAGAGATCGACTTCTTCAGAATGAAAAGATCAACCTTCAATACGTCATCGAGACCCTTCGGTGGACCTCTATTACATCACAGGGCAAGCTTCCCTCGTTGTCGGCGTCGACGTCGGCTACACAGTGATGGGCTGAAGTAGCTACCCAGAAAAATTCTAATGACCATGAGTTGACTCACGGTGTCCAGACCGGACGCTGGAACAATGACCTCAGTATTCTGTAACTTAGTGTAAGGTCAGTAACCCGTCATAATTGCAGTGGACGGGTTACTGACTTACCCCTTTCCTTCCAGCACTATATAAGGCATAATAAAGATCAGTACTAGTGGGGGAGCCTTTGGTATTCCACACCAAGCAGTGTTCGTCTTTATTAGCCGTTGTCCCAGTTGTATCAAGCACAGCATCGATTTGAGCTCGCCGCAGCCAGAGCCAGTAGGCTAGATAGCCGAGACAACCTATCAACGTTATTGCGCACGAGTTCGCTCGGAGCAAGTTTCGATATTGTGCTACATCGCAGTGAGTGTTAGTGCACAAACCTCAACTGCAAGATGCCATCAGCAACATCATCAACTCGGGATACCCGTAGCTCCCACGGCTACAGAGCGAACGTATCCGAAAGTGAGCTACTGCAAGATGATAATCCAAGTTCGACCAGCGGTGGATCCAGACCACGGGCGTTCAG